CTAGGAAGTCTTGACAGTCATATCCACAGACAAAAGGTGCCACTCAGTTAAAAAAGCTACTCCAACCTGGTAAAAGTACGGAACATCCTGAACAAACATGATGAACTCTTTATTTTTATTTTATTTTTTTTATTATTTTAACGAATCACCGTGAGATACAGTTATAGACGTACAAACTTGCACGATTATGTTTTGGTCATATAATGTTCAAGTATCCATTCCTCCACCCTTGCCTATTCTCCACCACCAATGTCCCAGTATCCCTCCTGCCACCCCCTTCTCTTCCCCTCACCTTGGTGGCAGGCATATTCCCTCTTACTCACTCTCTCTCTCTCTCTCTCTCTCTCTCTCTCTCTCTCCTTTTGGGTGTTATGGTTTGCAATACAGGCACTAAGCAGTCAACTTGATGACCTCTTAATAGCTTAGTATTATTGCAAACCATGATGTACAAAAGGACAGAGAGAAAGAAGAGGCAGGCTGGGGTGGGGGTGGGGGACAGTGGGAGATGGTGGGAGGGAAACGAGGGACATTGGTGGTGGGAAATGTACACTGGTGGAGGGATGGGTGTTGGCTCATTGTCTAACTGAGACCCAATCATGAACTTTTTTTTAATAGTCTCTCTCAGGGATATTTAATAAAAAATTAAAAAACAAAGGGCTAGAGCGATAGCACAGCAGTGGGGCATTTGCCTTGCACGCAGCCAACATGACCGACTGGAGTTCGATTCCTCCACCCCTCTGGGAGAGCCCGGCAAGCTACCGAGAGTATCTCGCCCACACGGCAGAGCCTGGCAAGCTCCCCGTGACTATTCAATATGCCAAACACAGTAACAACAAAGTCTCCAATAGAGACGTTACTAGGCCCACTCGAGCAAATCGATGATCAACGGGAGGGCCTTTTTTTAAAAAAACAAAACAAACAAACACACAAACACTGTCCTCCTATTGTTCATCGATTTGCTCGAGTGGGCCCAATAACATCTCCATTTTGAGACTTGTTGTTACTGTGTTTGGCACATTGAATACGCCACAGGTAGTTTGCCAGGCTTTGCCGTGCGGGCGAGATACTCTCGGTAGCTTGCCAGGCTCTCCAAGAGGGGCGGAGGAATCGAACCCAGCTTGGCTTGGCCGGTTGTGCGCAAGGCAAACACCCTACCACTGTACTACGGCTCCAGCCCTAAAAAACAAAATTAAAAAAAAAATAAAAGATGGGGCTATTTTGCTCTGACAAAGCAGGGCAAGGTGCTTCTTCCAGTTGGAGGAGTTGGGGAGATGTGTGTGTGTGTGTGTGTGTGTGTGTGTGTGTGTGTGTGTGTGTGTGTGGACGGGGGTCATGATGTCTGTTCCAGACCGTCGAGGCCTGCCACGGGCAACGGTGTGGCTGTGCTCCTTGCTGGCTTGTCTAGCTGACCCCTTTACAACCTTACCAAGTCATCTCTGGACTACAATGAGAGATGGAGCATCCCTCAAGCTTCCAGCATGCCAAGTCCTTTCTCCAAGCCTCCTTTTCAGTGGCAGTGAGCTGAAGAAAAGGGGGTGCTGAGACCAATTCGAGGGCTGTAGGGACGCCCCATACCCACGGCAGTGCCCTAAGACCTGTCCAGTGTCCCTCGATTCTCACCCTACCTGTCCAGAAGAAGTCCCCATCCACGGGGGCCCGACTCCATCCTCCAGATATCCCTTCCGTTCTGACAGCAGGTGGGGTGGCCCAATGGCTCTAGGTCATAGCCCCACACCTCTGTCCTGGGTTTAGTTAACTTACTAGAGTGACCCTCAGCACCCAGTGGAACATTCTACTGACCAGGTCACCAGTTTATTACAAAAGGTCCCCCATTCTGGGGACCAGAGATAATTCAAGCTGGCTGGTGCTTGCCGTGCACACAGCTGACCGGGGATTTGCTGCTCCCTCTCACCACATGTGTTCCCCAGAGCACCATCAGGAGTGATGCCTGAACACAGAACCAGAAGTAAGAAGCCCAACTGGGAATAGTCAGAGAAACAAAGCGTCAAAATAAAAAGGCAAGGGGATTAGGGGAGGAAAAGCAGAGCACCTGCCCTCTCTAAACCCCTAAACGCACCCTCTCCCCCCTCCCCCCTCCCCTCCTACCCCCCCCAGCCACTCAAGTGCTTTGCATTTTTGTAGGTACCATTGGTTCAATCCTTGGCCACTGAGCACTGAAATAAATCTCCACTCTCCCCTACCAGCATTTTTGGGCAGGGAGCACTGAAACCTCAATCACCTCCCACCCCTCCCCGAGCCTTAGGCCCCTCCCAGTGGAGGAGAGATCAATACCCTAACAGGAGACATCAGCACCCTCACTTAGGAACTTCCTGTCAGGAAGGCCCCACACCACATGGGTATTTTTGAGTAAATACACAACATTGCACTAACGGCATTATGGTGTCATCTTCTTGCCAGTCCTCCAGCCCTGTCTGAAGAAGCTTTGATTCATGTCATGTCCCCCTGACATGGATCTGGGCAGCCCCTGGACCTCCCTGCCCTCAGCTCGCATCTCATTCCGTTAGCTACCAGTGAAGGGTTCAAGGCGCATGTGTCTGTTACGGCCCTTCCCTGCTGCTTCCAGACTGGCAGGAAATCCGGTGTCAGAGGGGCCAACAAACAGCTCCTGGGTCCCAGGAGTGAAGATGCAGGCAGGAGGCAAGGAGCTCAAGGGGCTGCCCTGATTGTGTTGGGATGATGGGGGTTCAACGCTTCTTCAGAAAGGTGGAATCTGGGTGCAATCTCAGGGCAACCAAGATGGGAGGGGAAGGGAAGGAAACCAGTCAAGAGAGAGAACCAGCCAAGGCGGTGTGTTAGCGAGTTGACCACGTTCCCGGGAGGAATAATCCCCAGGGAATGGCCTGAGTAGTGTTGGGTATAAGCCTAAAGACACTTTTTATTCCTTGCTCAAGAGTTATTCCCGACTCTGTGCTCAGGGGTCATCCCTGGCAGCACTGAGGATTAAACCAGAGTCAGCCACATGCAAGGAAAGTGCCTTAATTCCTGTACTATCTCTCCAGCCCCATCGAAGAACTTTATTTTTTGAGGTGGGGCACCCAGAGGACCTCAAGTCTTACTCTTGGCTTTGCACTCAGTATTCACTGCCAGGGGGGCTCCAGGGCCCAGCTGAGGTGCCAGGGAGGGAACCAGGTTGATCACATGCTAGGCAAGCATCTTACCTGCTGCAGAATCTCTCCAGCCCCCACCCAAGAAGATTTCTTTACAGTGGCAGTGGCTATAAAGAAGACTTTGCAGAGTCCCACATCTCAACGTCACTGGCTGCTGTCACAGTTAGAGAATGAAGTCTCAGTGGATTCCACTGGGAAGGATCACGCCTTAGTGTATGACCGTCTCACTGGCCAAGAGATTGTTCTGGTGTGCTTCTGCTGCAGCAACTGAGGTCAAAGGAAGTGAGGCAGGAAATCCCTTCCTTGAGATTTTTTCCCCTCCCTGTGCCTCGTGGTGGCCACTTCCCCCAACGCGCACCAAGGGCAGCAGCCAGATCTGAGTGGCTCTTTCTCAGGGACCAGCAGGCTCTCCACTTGTCCGCCGACACTGAGCATGGAGGAGTGAATGAATGAGTGAAGGAAAGGAGAAACGAGTGACTGGACAAACGAGTGGAGAGAGGGGTGAATGAATGAGCGTTTCCACAACGATTGCAATGCTCCCCCATTCCCACTAGGGCTCTGGGACCCCGAGAGCCATTGGACAGTGGCCTGGCTGACTTCCTGGACTGTGTCTCCCTGAGCAGACCCCAAGTTCACTTTTGTCCCTAGCTGCCCGGTTCGGGTTCTCAGCGCCGAGGGGGATAGAACAGCCTCTGTGAGTCAGAGCAGGATGGAAAGGAGGTGGCTAGGGAAACTGGTTTCAAGTTGGTTTGCAGAGCCCAAGTAGGAGCAGGTGTTCCTCTCGGAGGAGGGGAGGTGATTTCTCCGGTGACTGGGGGCAAGAACCAAGGAGATGGGGAGTGGGGAGGTGTCTAACTCTGCTTACTCTTCGTAAAACAGATGGCCCCCATTTTACCGGGAAGGCCCATCCATAGGACAAAAAACTGCCCTGTGCCCAGCGGAGCAGCTGAGTTGTGCGTTTATGTCAGCAGCTGAGCCCCGGGGCTCTGGCTTGGGACGACCCCGGAGGGGGTCACTTCGCTGTTGCCTTGTAGATAAGCTGGCTTCCGACAGGGAGCTGAGGATGGGAAGGGAAACTGTAGCAGCAGCTCTTTGCCAAGATGCCACCGTGTGGCCGCAGGGCTCCGGGAGCGGGCACGGGGGTGGGGTGGGGGGGTCAAGGCCGCCTTGAGCCCAGAGAGGGCACGTCCTGCACCTTGGAGCCCGGGCCAGGCCCCCCGGGGCGGGGTGGTGGGGGGGGAGCGGCCCTGAACCGGAGCCGGAGGGTGAGGACCATCCGCAAGCTGCGAGCGCCAAACGGGAGGGGGGGTCTCCACTCCTTCCCCACTGGGGAGAAACTCGAGGGGTGGGCCAGCGGGGCGCCAGCCCCCTCCCCCACCCGCCAGCCCGGGGTCCGGGAGTCCTCTTCCCCAAGGGGTGCATCAACGAACGCCCGCTACACAATAGCCTCGCTAGATGGAGACGCGCACCCACTGCAGCGGCGCGGGCAGGCGCTGGCGAGGCTCACGTCTGTTTTCCTTTTTCGTGCATTATTGATTTCGCCTCCGCCCGCGGCCCTGCTGCCCGCGCCCGGGGCCGCTGCCTGCCGCCGCCGGGGAGGGCGGGGAGCGGGCAGGGCCGGCGCGGCCGGCTCGGGGCGGCTCTCGGAGGCCACTTTCCCCGCCCTCCGCCCGGCCCGGCCCGGCCCGGCCCGGCCCGGGGTACCGCCCCGCGCGCGGCCAGGCGCAGCCGGGAACCGCCGCGCCCGGAGCCGCGCTCAGAACCGGAGGCCCCGGCGGCGGCGCGCAAACTTTTGCTCCGGTGCCCGGCGCCGCTCCCGGGCATGTGAAGCCCCCCGGGCGCCAGCGCCGCTGCCAGGGTGAGCCCCGAGGCCCCGCCTAGAGGGCGGGGGGACGAGGGAGGCGGCGGGCTTTAAATGGGGGGCCCGTCGGCGCCTCCGGAGCCGTGTCTGCAGCAGGGTGGGGGGGAGCGCTGACCTCCCTCCCCCGCGGCGAGCGTCCACCCGGGCCGCCTCCAGGCAAGGGTGCGGTGTGGGGGGCGAGGGAGCAGCGGGGAGGCGGCCGGGGAGGGCCCGGGTGGCGGGCTGGCGGCGGGGAGGTCGCACCCCGAGGCTGGAGGCGCGCCAGGGCACACGGGGGAGCGCACCGAGGCGCGGCGGCTGCAGCGTGCGCAGTGAGGGCCGGCCGGGCAGGGACCGGGCACGCCGCCCGCCCGTGTCCCCGGGGCGGCGCGGGCCGGATGAGCGCGGTGGGGGCGCACGCGGGGACCGCGGCCTTCGCGGGGTCTGAAGTCCGCGGGCAGCGGGAGTGAGTTGTGCGTGGCTGTTTCTTGGGGGGGAGCTGTAAGTGCGCCCCGGGCTGGTTTTTGGAGGGGCTGGGGGGGGTGTGCCCGAGGCCCCGGGGTGCATGCACGCAGGATGGGGGTGTTGGTGTGTGCGCGGGGCTAAGGCGTGCACCCGGGAGCTGTGAGTTCTGGGCTGCCGGCTTCCTTGAGTTGCTTTTTTCCCCCCCTCTTCCCTCCTGTTGTTTTCTGCACGAAAGGTCAGGCTGTGCGCAAGCTGGAGGCAAAGGACCAGCTTGGGTTAGGAGAGTGCTCCGAGGTGCGGCGCGTCCCCCCCTCCCTCCCCGCCCCTCCGACCCCGACGGTGCCGGTGCGCAGCGCCCACCTGACCCGAGCTTTGCTCCCCTGACAGTGGGCCCGGAGAGCGGGCGCCCAGGGCCGGCCGAGATGCTCCTGCGGGACCTGGTGCTGGGCCCAGGCTGCTGCTGGCCGTCGCTGCTGCTGCACTGCGCGCTGCACCCGCTCTGGGGCCTCGTGCAGGTGAGCGGGGAGTGGGCGGGGTGGGGGCGGCGGGGGACCCTCCGGGGTGAGGATGTGCCGGGAGGGCAGCACTCCTGAGCTTTCTCGCAGCTGTCGAGAGCTGAGATCCCAGGCAGGCTGCACCCCCCTCCCCCACCTCCATCCCTACCCCTACTCTGGAAAGCCAAAGTCCCCAGACACGTTGGTCTGTGGAGGAGAGAGAGAGCGCGGCTCCAGGGAGAGCATCATGCTCTTGCAGAAACACCAGGAAAGAAACTTGGAAAGAAAATTGATCCTGAGAATATACTCTCATATTCCCCACCGGAATCACTAGTGAACTTGAGCTTAGCAGTGGGAATGGATCAGCACCGCAGGTGGCCTGGGGGCACAGTCCCGACTAGGCTGGCATGGGTGGAGGGTTTAAGAAGTCATTGCCAGGGTCCGGAGAGATAATACGGGCGGCTGCCTGCGGTTCCGTGGCCTCACCACATAGGGTCCCCCGAACACCGCCAGGAGGGATCCCTGAGCAGAGGTAAGAGAGAGTTAAGTTCTGAGTATCGCTGGGGGTGACCACCCCCACGCCCCACCCCCAATTAAAGAAGGCACTGCCCATCGTTGAGGACAACCTGTGGATAAAATCATCCCCTGGGGTCCCCTAGACTCCAGGGCAGAGGCTTGAGGGTACCAACTGAAGTTCCCTCTGCCAGGTCAGAGAGAAGGTTCTGGGGGATGGTGTGAAGAATGGTCTTGGGGGTGCCCAAGAGCTGGACTTTGGTGCCAGCTTTGAATTCTGAGCCCTGACTCTGCCCATCAGCAGCAGCAGAAACGTGGTCAGTGCCTTATTGCCTGCCTGACCTCTCTCTAGTTCTTCTTCCTCATCTTCCCCTCCGTGCTGTTTCAAGTATTAGCTAAAATAAAGCGAGTCAGGATGGCTCAGCCCCGTGCCTGGCCCCAGGATAAGCAGGAAGTGGTGACCGTGTTGGTCTAGTTATGGGACAGTGCATATGTGTGGCCTCACCGTGAGTCTCTTGGACCCATTTGATGTTAATAATGACAGGAGTCCACTGGCGGGCTGAGTGGATCTTCGGGTACACCCAGAGCCCTGCCCCTCCCCGGCTCCCACTTCTCTGGCTGGCTTCCCTCTCCTGCACAATTATTTTCCTTTCGGAGTCGACAGCTTTGTTTAATGTGTGACGCAGCAGGTGTTAAAATCAGCTGTGCCTTCTCGGAATTGGGCTGTTGTTGCTTTCAAACAGTCGGACTGCCGGGAGCAGCTTCCCAGGTTGAACTTTGAGCAGAGCTCAGATGCTCCGTTCATGTCCTTCCTCCGTTCCTCTCTCTCATGCTCTCTCCTCCAATGTGAGCTCAACTTTGGAGAGCAGAAGGATGTGGTCAAGAGAGGAGAGTTTTGCTGCATGAGCTAGCAGGACCCTCACCTCCTCCCAAGGGAAGGAGTCTTCATATAAGCATGAGTGTGTGAGTGTGTGTGTGTGTGTTGGATGCTAGCACTCAATACAAATCCATTTTCATGAAAATCAATTTAGGAAAGGAATCTTCCAGACGAGCACAATGGACCAGATCTTGGCTAGAGACTCTGGAAAAATGAACCTGCCTAGGATAAGGACGGACAGGCCAGAGGATGTTGGAATGGATAGTTTTTAAATGAAGTGCTGAGTCCAGGGGCCCTGAGGGCAAGAGAGATGGCAATACCTGTGGTGGTGTATTTCTCTTTAAGTGGAGAGACTAAAATCCGTCATGTCATAGAGTTTCTTGAGTTCGCAGGAAGAATTTGGAGCTCTCTCTTGGAGCATCCACAGACATTTGACAGAAGAACCCCCACCCCCCCACCCCAGTTGTGAACATGTGCGAAGGTGAAATGGAGACAGTGTCCTCTCATGAGCAGGTTAAGTGGTGAAGCAAGAGCCCTGGGGTCACCCGAAGTGCCAGGGTTCCCGGAAGTGTCTGGCTCCTACATAACAATATGGCCCAAAGCCTCTGGTAACTCCCCAGATATGAGAAACTTCATCAAAGTCCGATGACATTTGAATGGCCAGAAGGTAGTGGCAGCATTCCAGGGTCACCTTCCCTTTTCTAGATGTGTCTGGAATTGAGATTTATAGTTCTGCTGAGTTCATATCTGGATAATCTGCCCCCTTTTCCCCCATTTGCAAGTGTGGAGGGAAATGGGCTGCCTGTTCCTGGGTACAGGGAGACTGTGGGGTTCAACGTCTCCCTTACAGATGCCAGGAGCACTCACCCTTGTGAGGGTCCTCCTGGAGGAGTGGGATGGGAGCAGGGGGCTCAGAGCCGGGCCTCTGGGCTCTGCATGCTACTGAGGAACCCCCCCAATCTTCCCCCAATTGCAGTCAGTCAGTCGCTACAGCTTGGCTGATGCATGGGGTCAGGCACCTGTTGGTGTTGCCCTCATGACATTGAACTCTGACCCCGGAGAAATCAGGCTGTACGCAAGAGAACCCAGCAGACACCTATCTCCGGGGCTGGTGAAGACCTGCAGACATAGAGCATCCCTCGAGACCGGAGAAGTCAGAATACAGGCGTGAGGAAGAAGCCAGGCAGAGGGGAGAAAAGGACCACGGGATGGACACCAGGGTCAGCCACTGACCTAGCGCTTCACCCTTTGCACTTGAGCCTGAAGCCAACACAGAGGCCGTCTGAGGCGGGAGATACCTGCGTTGGGTCTTTTGGAAACCTGGACCGGCTGGGTTATATCCTGGGGGAACCCTTAAGTTTAGAGCTTGTCCCTGAGGGCACCTGCTCTTAGACTAACCACATCCACAGGATAGATTGAGGGAGTGGAAGGAGGCAGGTAGGAGTTGGGTGATGTTGGCGTCAGGAGGGCGGGTTGGGGTGAGTTTTGATTTTTCTTTCTTTCTTTCTTTTTTTTTTTTTGGCTTTTTGGGTCACACCCAGCAATGCACAGGGGTTACTCCTGGCTCTGCACTCAAGAATCACTCCTGGCAGTGCTCAGGGGACCATATGGGATGCTGGGAATCGAACCCAGGTTGGCGGGTTGGCTGCATGCAAGGCAAACGCCCTACTCGCTGTGCTATTGCTCTAAACTCAAAACTGGGGTCAGTTTTGAGTGGTTCTTTTCTTTAGCCCCAGGCTGTCCTGGAGGCTCTCAGGATCTGGCTGATGCCCGTTATCGGGGGCTTACCGAGCAGTGGGTCTCACCTCCTATAGCAAATCTTGGACGGAGGCAGGTGCTACCCCCGGAGCGTCCTGGGGACCCACTGCAGGGCTGGAGCTTTGGGAATGCATCCAAGGGGGGGATTCAAGTGAAAACTATACCATCCCAGGCAGGGGCGGAGCCACGGGCACTGGGACCCCCAGATCACAGTGACAGGCACCGAATCCTGGTGACAAGAGGGCCTCCCTGTGCCTCCCATGCTGCATGGCACAGCACTGACAACAGCATCTGCCCCAGGGGAGGACTGGGCAGCGGGGACTGGGATGCTGGACGCCCTCCTTGGTCACAGAGAAGCCAGCTTTGGCTCTGTAGGCTTGGGGCAATTCCCTGGCCCCCGGGGTCTCACCTCTGCTCCTTCCAAGTCAGTCTAAGAGAGGTGCCCTCGGGGACAAGCTCTACCTTATGGGCCCCCCAGGATGTAATCCAGCCGGTTCAGGTGCCCAGTCCAAGTGAACTCTGAGCAGGGGAAGGGGAGTCCCCTTGTGTCTTGGCAGGTAGGGAGGCCAGCCCCTGTTCTTCCAATGCTGTGTCAGTTTGGCACATATTTTTGTCTCTCTGAGCTGATGTCCACCTGCTTGGGGTGCGCCCTCCAGCCTCCTGCTCTGGGCCTTGGGTGAGAGGAGACTGTGATCTGCAGCGTCTGCATCAGAGGAGCTGGGCATGCACACTGGTCAGGGTTGTGGAACACCCTTGGCCAATTCCCACAGCCTAGCGTGGGCCACAGATCTGACAGAAGACCAGGGGAGAGTGCCGCAGAGTTTACAGGGAGCCGCAGGACGGCAGGGAGGGTGCTTGCTTCGCAGGAGGCTGACCCAGGTTTGATCCTCAGCATCCTGTGTGGTCACTGCACCGTCAGGAGTGATCCCTGAGCACAGAGCCTGGAGTAAGCACCGAGCTCCTCCAGGTGCGTCCCCAAAACCAGAAGAGGAAGGAAGGAAGGAAGGAAGGAAGGAAGGAAGGAAGGAAGGAAGGAAGGAAGGAAGGAAGGGAAAGAAAGAAAGAAAGAAAGGAAGGAAGGAAGGAAGGAAGGAAGGAAGGAAGGAAGGGAGAAAGAAAGAGAGAGAAAGAAAAAGGAAGAAAGATAGAGAGAAAGAAAGGAAGGAAGGAAAGAAAGAAAGGCAGAGGGAGGAAGGGAGGGATAGAAGAAGGGAGAAAGGAAGACAGGAAGGGAGGGAGGGAGAAATGAAGCAAGGAAAAAGGGAGAAGGAAGGAGGAAACAAAGCGAATCAGTACCTGGGCAGGGTTCGAATGTGAGGATGGGGCAGAGATGTGTGGGGGAGTGGGGGTGGGATCAGGGACTCCCCGAGAAGGGTGTGTGAGAACTGGGCTTGCAGCAGAGGGAAGTCGGCAAGTGCATGGAGGGTCCAAGTCACCCCCCAGGCATGAGGGAGCATCAGTGAGCTTGCGTGGGGCCCCCGTGCAGACCGTCCCCCAGACTCGTGTGGTGCAGTGGGTTGGCAGTGGTGCCATTTTTGTGTCTCGGGGTGCATGTGACAGAGACTACACTTCTCCCCTCCCCCGAACCCCAATTTCCCTGCTCATAATTTATCACCTTCAACCTCTTCTGTGTGGGCGCCTTTATATACCTCCCACAAAAACAAGTCACTGTATGGCATGGTGCCGGGTTGAACCAACATGCCCCCTGAAGAGCCCTGCCTCGTACATTGGGCTCAGAGAGGCTAAGACACGAGCTAGGGTTGCACAGCACCAGCTCCATGGACAGCTCTGTGTGTGTGTATGTGTGTGTGTGTGTGTGTGTGTGTGTGTGTGTGTGTGTAAGAGAGAGAGAGAGAGAGAGAGAGAGAGAGAGAGAGAGAGAGAGAGAGAGACATCGCCCTCTCAGTGGTCTCCCTTGGTGATGTTTGCACACTGGGTCAAATTTAGCAAAGGAGTCATCTCAAAGGCCTGTCCCTGGGTCCCCGAAGCCCCTGTGCCTCAGAGGGCCAGCGGTTTGCCAGTAGTGTGTAAGGAGTTAACCATGGCTGTGGAATAATGCAGAAAGACGCACCATCTGTGGACATGCTTCCCGTGGGGGGGGGGGGGGGTGAGGAGATTGCCTGGCAGAATCCGAAACGCGGTCAATGGTCCTTCAGAAACTCTCCAAAGGGGTGAAGCACCGGCTTCTCGGCCTCTGAGATACGGAGCCTGGCTGTAAATCAAAGGCCCGCACTGCTCTCCGGGTGGCTGTCACCATGCGGCCCATCGGACGGGCCCCTCCTGGGTCCTGGGGCGCTCTGCCTGCAACTTGGGGCCGTGCTCACCTCCAAAGTCCTCCCGTGCATGGCTGGCTGCAGGGGAAGTGGGGTTCTGGAGTTCTTGTCCTCAGGCTGTCAGCCAGAGAAATTAAACAGGGCATCCTGGGGCCTGAGGGGAGGGGGGTGTGGAGGGGGAGGGGACTGCCAGCCCCTCCCTGCAGGCCTGTGAGTGAGTGTGTTCCCAGGACAGGCCTCAAACTAGACACCCAGATCTGCTTAGCCTGGGACGTTGCAGCCAGAGGCCCAGTCACGCTTCCTGCAGACTCTGCTTTAGGAGATTAAGGGCCAGGTTGGCATGCATGGCGTTTACAGGAGACTGTGACGGGCAGTCACAGCCCAGACGTCTCCCCACTTCCCTTCCCAAGGCTCCTGGGGAGAAGCTTAGACTGTGTGGTGAGCCTCCGGCAGGATGGGAAAGGCAGGGTGTCGCTCCCGTTTTGGGCATTCTGGTTGTGCTGGAATGTCAGGCTTCCCCTTAGGTGCGGGGTTCGGTAGTGAGGTAGTGGACACAGAAGGCCCCAGCTGGACAGGGTCAGGAGCGTTTCCTCAAGGAGAAAGGTGAGCACCAAGCGGGGTAGTGGTCAGAGCTGGAGCGAGGGCAGGGAATGTTCCGGAGCAACAATCAGGGGGCCGAGGAAGGGCCTGGAGGGCAGAGCAGAACGTGAGAGACTAACAGAGGTGGGACTGAGCCTTTGTGGCCACGTGACCCCCTCAGCTCTGGGCGGGCATTTGGGGGTGAGGAGTTGCAGGTAGTTATGTCTGGTGTGTGTCCCAGAAAGACCATGGGGGTCCCCTATGGGCTCCAGAGAGCACTTGCCCTGCTCCTGATGGTCACCGGGGTCCCCAGAGCCAAGACTGACTAGGTCAGCCCCCCCCCCCAAGAAAGAAGGAGAATAACACCTATAGCTGTGGTCAGGCTAGGACTGTCCATGGCCAGGACTGGGGGGTGCTCTGGGGCTCCAGGGAAGGTCCGACACTCTCCCCTTAAATCTGGAGGGAGATTCTCAGAATCCCCATGCCCGGGCTTCATCTTCCCTTCCCTTGTCCCCCTATCTTGTGATGTGTCCACAGTCCCCCAGTTGGTGCTGGGCAGGAATAAGTGCTCCCTCGGAGTCGTCCCTCCAGGCTGTGTCTGCGGGAAGAACCCCAAATTCTAGGCAGCTGGGGGGGGGGCGCGGCGGGGAAGGGATGCGTTTCTGCTCCGCGCGTCCTCATGGTCTTCTCTGGGTTTGCAGGTGACACGTGGCGAGCCCCAGAAGTCCTGCTCCAAGGTGACCGTCAGCTGTCAACACATCTGCCAGTGCCGGCCCCCACCCCCGCTGCCCCCTCCCCCACCACCCCCGCCGCCCCCCAGGCTCCTCTTGGCTCCAGGTAAGTCTTCGGGGCCATTCTGGGCGCTGCGCAGGGCCCCGGCGGAGCCGTGAGCTGGAGCAGAGGGCAGCCTGTCCGCCTTTGTAATTTTCCATTGGCCGAGCAGGAGAGAAGCCAAGGCCCAACTGTCCGCTGCAGTCTGCAGAGCGCCTTGCTCGCTGGCCGTTCCCAGGAGCTGGAGCAGGAGGAAGCTTCCTCCGCGCTTAATCAGATAAAAGTCAGCCTCCATTTGATGAGTGGCCACGGGCCTGCAGTGCTGCCCAAGGGCCAGCCTTTCGGGGGGCAGGTGCGGGCCTCTGCCCACACATCAGGGTCCCTTGATGGAGATTCGTTCTCATTGGAGGAGGCGATGGGGAGGGAGCCCAAGGGGAGACTCAGGGCGCACGGCGAGCTCTCGGGGTGCCTCTGGGCAGCGAATCCTGCTCAATACCCTCCTTTGATGGCTGAGCCCGGGGTTCATCCATGAGCAGTGTCATGGCCTGGACGCGCAGACAAAGGAGGGTTTCTCTGGCCTCTGTGAGTGAAAATTCCTGCTGCCAGTTGTCCGTGGAGAAGGTCAATGTGTCCGAACCATCACTCCCATTTTAGCTTGTAGGATACCCTGTGTGGGTCTTCCCCACAACTCCGCCAGACAGGAATCGTTCGGGGTGAACTGCAGGTAACCGTGAGTAGGTATGTCCTCGGGATGGTGATTTGCAGATCCCGGGTCCGTGTTGCGGTGTTCAGGGGGAGTCTTGGCCCCCCACGTGCCTCTCTGTGTTTTGTTGGCTTAGCCTCTGCCTGCCTCTGTCTCTGGTTCCCGTGCCCAGAGTGGCTCAGGCCGTGGCCGTCTGCATTGCCAGAAGTGTTGGTCTGAAAGGCGACTAACGACCTCTTCACACCCAGAGAGCTAACAAACAGTCATTCTAGCAAGTTCTGAGGGGTCTGTCGATGCCTGTTGGAGTGGGGTTCTGGGACCCCTGTTCCTTCTCCCTGGGCTCTTAACCTTCTAACTCTTCCTGAAGGCCTTCCACCGGCCGCAGCCCCTGGCCCTGCTGTCTCCGGCTTCTCCTCCTTTCAAATTCCTTCTCCTCCTGCTGCCCGGACCCCAGGGGTCTTTGTATCAGACAGCGCCCCAGCCACCTCAGAGTCCCCTCAACTTACCCCCCTCAAACTGAACTGACAGCAGGGGAAAGACCGTTCTGGCCTCCTGGGGGCGACCTGGCCTCAGCGGGAGGTTCCTCCCGTGACAAGTGGCCTGTGAGAGCACAGAGGACATTCCCGTGTCAACCCTCGCTCCAGCCTCAGTGACAGCACCGCCTGCCGGTGTCCACAGGCGGCCCTGAGATTGTTCTAGATTGCTAAGGAGGCACAAGGCCTCCAGGTAGAAGGAGCAGTGGGACCATAGCACAGAGAGGCGACCGGACACCCCCAGTGGATCTAAGGGGGCCATCATGGGCAAGGAGGGGGTTGCGGGCGAAAGGCACCTTAGGTTGCGTTTTGGTCTTTTGACCCAGAAGTGATTCCTGTTTACCAAACAGTGTCCACCATCCACAGAGATATGGTAAGACTGTTGGTTAAGACACACTTTTGCATCTGTACAAATGAACTTCCACAGGAGACCTCCTGTAACCTCTGTTGTCCAAGGTGGGCAGCCATCAAGTAAAGGGAGGGAGGTAGACCAGTGTGTGTCCAGTGAGGTGGCCCGGAGCATTCCTGAGGTGGCGAGGCACAGGGGTGAGAAGGAGGGAGGTGCTGGGGCTGGCTTGCTTGTTGGTTGGTTTGGTTTCAATAGGGTAAGTGATGGCAGTGAAATCAAATCACTCTGCTCGCCTGCCGTGGAAGGTTCTGGACCCCGGGCCTGCTCTCTTTCTGTTGCTTGGTGAGAGGAGCAGGGAACGGGGCTGGGGGAGCCCCAAGGTCGGAAGGGGACCCGCAGGGTTTATGTGCCTGGTTCTGTGGTCCAGCGTGTCTGATGCACTCGCTGGACCTTAGGGCAGGGTTCTGCTCTGTGCTCCATTCCCGTCCCCTTTGGACAAGTCCGAGAAACGCCTCTCGGACACATGTCACCCCAGACACCTCATATTCACGACTTCATGATTCTGAATGAACACTGGGTCATTTTGCGCCCACCCACCCTTGGCTCCGCCCGTCCCTCCCACCCCTGGCTCACTTAATCTCCCTCAGGGCCAGGACGCCCCTTCGAAGAAGCTGAGCTCTAGAGACCTGGGCAATGCCGGCTCGGTGGAGCAGGGCAGAGACCAGGATCTGCATTTTCTGTTTCCACCTTGGCTCTGGCATGGCGGTGGAATCAGGGACGAGTGAGGTAGTAGCAATGCCAGGCTGGAGTTTGGTGGGGGCTCTGGAGACCCCTTGGGGGCCTCATGGCGTAGAGACAGGTGTGGGCCAGGACAGGGCGTGTGTGTGCTCTGGGCTGAGGGCCCCTCCGGGCGGGAGGAGACCAGGTGAGGGGCGCTCCAGCAGGACTCTCAGTTTCCAGGAACTGAGGGCCAGAGGCCAGTGCCTTGGCTCTGTACAGGCAGGGACAGCCAGGCTGCGCGCATGGGCCAGACATCCCAGCTCCGGCTCTTCTGCACAGACTGTATTGGATTCCTGTCCGTTCCTCTCTTCTAATTGCTCCTGGAGACCTTTTCTCCCTGGCCAGCCCGAGGCTGGGGCTCCAGGCTCCCGATTCCATTGACTTTATTGACTTCACCTTGATCCGTTTCCTCCATGAGGGAGCAGCTCCCTCTCCGAAAGTTCAGCGAAAGTTCTGGGTCCACTTCCCGCCCCCAATTAGGGTCCTACTTGACAGATGGTGAGAGGAATTACTGCTGATGGTTCGGGCCCAGATTTGGGGGGTGGGAGAGGGGAAGGGAGTGAATGAACCCCAAGGAAAATCCTGATAGAGGCGCTGTCCCCTAAGGATGAGGGTGTGCGTGGGCACTGGACAGGGGGCAGGCCCGTGCACCCCACAGCCCAGGGCTCAGGTGACCAGTGCTGACCCCCGGCTGGCCAGTGTGCTTCCTCTCCCTCTCCTCTTGCGTTCTCTGCATGTGGCCCAGACTCTGCAGGTAAGTTGAACCCCAGAAATCTCGGGGTCAGCCTGCGCCATGCCCAGAGGCTCTATTATTCCCAGATGTGTGTGAGCTCCAGCTGTGGGCCAGGAAATCAGTGGTGGAGAGAGGAGAGGAGGTGGTGGGGGAAAAAGCAGGGAGGGGTGCACTGCTCCAGGACGTGATCAGGGGGCAACTTCCCTTCCAGTTGGCAGGGCTGGTCTCATGCACAGTGGCCCTGCCCCTTTGACCAACCTCTGTACCAGGCATGCATGCTGTTCTCCAGGACCTTTCTACCTGGCGTATGATTGCCTGGTACCCTGGCAGCACCTCGGGACGAGACTTTGATGGCATGGACAGGCCACTGGTGGGAAGGTGGAGCCCGAGAACACAGCAGTGGGTTGAGTGACCCTCGAGGCCAGGAGCACCCTCCAACCCTGCCACTTCCTGTCTGTTCGGTGTTATTCATGTCACTGTGGTGCCAGGGTCTGAACCCGGTCTCGTGTGTGGTGTGCAGGCTTTGCCGCTGAGACATATCCCTCGCCAGCCAAAACGCCTGCCCTGGTTTTAAGACGGCCAAGTTACCTATGTCTCCGTTTCTTCTTTGGTGAACTGGGTTGCAGGAAGCCCTCATTCCACCCAGGTTTCTGGAAGCTTCCAGAAGTGAGAAGAGTTTTGGGAAAACCAGACGGGGCTTTGGGTGGGCGGGGTTACCCCCCATCCTGGGAAACTCGTCCTGATCAGGAGCAATCCCGGTGCTTGGATCCAGCAGGGGGAAAGAAAGCTGCTTGGGGGGGGGGGGGGAGGGGGGAGGCGCGATTTCATTCCGGAAGGGGCAGGAAGGCAGCGTGCAGGCTTGGTTGGGAGAACTTCCGGTTGGATCTGATTGGCTGGAGCCCGATGGGACGATGGTGGGGGCAAAAGCGGGGTCCCTGCTTGCTGAGCACTGCAGGTGGGAGTGGGGCCTTCCGTACAGTGTCCCAGCAGAGGGAGGGGATCCCTGCACAGTCCTGCAGCTCTGGGGGCTCCCTGGAAGTTGGTGCCACCTCATTGGCTGGAGCTGTCACGTGTGGCCAGGCAGGTCCCCTGTTTGTACCCAGTTCCCTTCTGCCCAGGGTGACCTTTGGGACCCGTCTTGCCAGGGCCTGCCCTGTATGTATGGAAACACTTTGGGCCTGGACACCTGGACCTGGTGACCACCTTTCTACCACTCCCCACCCTCCTCCACCCCTTCAGGCCAGGCAGCGTGACTTCTTATCGTGAAACTTTCAAGAGCCATTCACTCCACCCAGAGCTCAGGCTGGTAGGGGCAGCTCAGCTCTGCATTCCGGCACGGGGGCAACCCTGTGACCCCTCCCTCCTGCTCCTCATCTGCCCAGTGTACCCACGAGCCCCCCAAAGAGAGGCCATGTAGAATGGAAAGTCCCCAGACTCTGCTTGGTGTACAGGACCCACAGGTCAGTGACTGGCTCCCCGACTGAGAGATCGAGGCGCCCTGCAGAGTAGCCTTCACTGGTTGGAACCTCTCTTTGCATCTGCAAAATGGTGCCAAATGGGTGCCCCCTGTGGGCCATGGTGAGGGTGCAGCTGGTCAGTTATCGTGCCAAAGCTGTGGCTAACAGAACGGCTCATGGGAGTTGCTTTTGCCTTAAGCACAGATGCAGAGATGAGGCAGACCTGATGTCTAATCTAGTCCGACGCGTCTGAGGGTGCGGTGGGGTTCAGTCGCCTCCCTGCACGGGCCCCTGTCCCTGGCCCCAACCAAGGCCTCTACCGGAAAGAAAAGGCGTTCAGGGATTCCACCTCCTGCCCTCCCCAGGCTTGGACCCTTGGGGTGTCCTGGAGTCCCCCACGGGAAGGTTTTTCTGGAACGTGTGGGCAGGATAAACCCCGGCCGAGGCTAAGGCCCAGGCAGCCGCCGGAGGAGCTGGGATCTGGGTTGGCCTCGTGAATGTCAGCGATGTC